TTCCCCTCTGACCCGCTGGATGTCACTGCTGTCCCAGCCAAAATGAAGGCCAGCAGTAACCCGCGGTTTTTTCTGCAGTAAAAGATTTGCATAACAAAGATTCCCGGAACAGACCACTGTCGATTCCTATTAGGCTAGAAGAAAGCTGCTAGAAAAGGTATCTACTCCTGCGGTCTTTTTACTTGTGTGGACGTTTTCCTTCTTAGAATAAGAAACTTAAAGGTTGAGGATATACTGCACTGAATGATACAGTCTGTGGAATATAGGTATTTCCAAATGAGCGTGGAGGGAATAAATTACTAACAGACTCACTGTAATCCTTACTGATGTCTTATGTTTTAGTAATATTAATTTTATGTTTTAGTAATATCAATTTTAGATACTACCAGTGTGTGGGAGGCTTCCTTTATCCCACAGACTTCTGCCAGAAGCTGATTTAGGGGAGCTGGAGTGGGCGTGCACTAGCCACTCGCTAACAGCAGAGGGCGCTGGGGAGATGGAGAAAATACCGTGGAGAAATGGTGAATAAAGTTAAATCACTGGTGCAGTCTAATCCACTCTAATTTTATTTGATATCTGAATAGTTCCATCCTAATTTATGCTTCTTCTAAAAACGGTTTTCCCTAAAATATTTCTACTTTCTCTTTTCGGCCCAGCTACTGATTTCTTAGTATTTGAAGTTCTTTAAAGTCTTTCAGTAGCCTCTGTGGGCTTTTTTCCCCCTGCACCCCCCGTGCACTCTCTTAACCTCATAATTATCAAAACCACATGATAATTCCAACTTTAACTCTGATTTCCAGAAACCTCCCTGCATAAATACAAATTTCTTCCACTGCAAAGTTGTGTTTGGTGATAATGGTAACGCTGAGCAGATACAGCGGAATAGGTGAATACCTCTGCTCATGCCATTTTCCACCAGCCACTCCTCATAATGCATCACTCATTAAGTTCAGGAAATGTTTTGTAGTGGCCAGAGGAAACAGCACTGACAAACCATACATGAACATCACAAGTTCACTAACAAATCCCATTTTCCCTTTTCATTCCTGCAGTGCTATTGCACCCTTCTACGCTGAAGTGACTCTTTTCAAAGTCTTCCAGTCTGCCCTAGCACTTACTTAATGTTTCTGTGATGGATGAGATTTTTACCCTAATTTTCTTGGCAACACAGGGAAGCACACAGAAGAGAGATAATGTCAAAGGCAAATAAATGGGACATAGAGAGGTTGTTCGAACCATCTCCATGCTAACAGTGAACACAGTCAATTCAGCTACCTGCCAACACTAACTATTTTACGAGAGTATTTTAAATTGCAAGAGAACCTTATTTTACTGACGAATGCCCTTCCTAATTTCACAGTTCTTA